AACAAGAAACTTTCTAAGCCAGCACATCAAGGAACCGACGATAATGAGAGGAGAAGATGAACCAGCAATGCTTGATTTGATATTTACCCTAAATGAGTGGGATATAAGGGAAGTTAAAATGGAAGCACCCTTGGGAATGAGTGACCACAGTGTATTGAACTTTGAGTACCTGGTAGAGCTAGGAATTATCTCCCCCCAAAAAGAACTAGGAATCAAAAGGCTGGCATACCGAAAGGGGAATTATGAACAGTTGAGAAGTTTCCTAAGGGAATACCTTGGGACACAGACCTCAGATATAAGTCTGTACAGGGTATGATGGACTATGTTACCCAAAAGTGTCAGGAGGCAATAAACAGGTTCATCCCGGCCTAAAGGGAAAAATCCGAGAAGCAACAGAAGAATCCATGGTATAATAGGGCATGTATGGAAGCGAAGAAACTGAACAAAAGGGCGTGGAGGAACTTCCGGAATAACAGAACACAAGAAAGCAGAGAGAGATACCAGAGAACCAGGAATGAGTACGTCAGGGTGAGAAGGGAAGCAGAGAAAAGAGTTTTGAAAATTATATAGCAAACAAAGCCAAGACCGAACCAAAGCTACTCCACAGTCACATCAGAAGGAAAACAACAGTGAAAGAACAGGTATTGAAACTTAGAACAGGCGAGGACAGGTATACAGAGAATGACAAAGAGGTGTGTGATGAACTCAACAAGAGGTTCCAGGAGGTCTTCACAATAGAACAAGGTGAGGTCACTGCTAGGAGAAAGGGAGGTAAACCAGGCGACCTTGGAAGAGTTCGAAATTACGAGAGAGGAGGTCAAGAGACACCTGCTGGATCTGGATGTTAGAAAGGCTGTTGGTCCAGACGGGATCTCACCATGGGTACTGAAAGAATGTGCAGAGGCACTTTGGTTGCCCCTCTCCATAGTGTATAGTAAGTCACTGGAGATGGGAGACTTACCAGAAATATGGAAGACGGCGAATGTGGTCCCAATATACAAAAAGGGCGACAGGCACTGAAGTACAGGCCAGTGTCCTTGACTTGTATACCATACAAGATGATGGAGAAGAAATCAAATCGCCAACATGGGTTCAGGGAGGGTAAATCTTGCCTGACTGGCTTAATAGAATTCTACGACAAGGTGACAAAGATTAAGCAAGAAAGAGAGGGCTGGGCAGACTGCATTTTCTTGGATTGTCGGAAAGCCTTTGACACAGTACCGCATAAGAGGCTGGTACATAAGCTGGAGAGACAGGCAGGTGTAGCTGGTAAGGTGCTCCAGTGGATAAGGGAGTATCTAAGCAATAGGAAGCAGAGAGTTACGGTGAGGGGTGAGACCTCCGATTGGCGTGAAGTCACCAGTGGAGTCCCACGAGGCTCTGTACTCGGTCCAATTTTGTTTCTGATATATGTAATTGATCTCCTGGAGAGTATCGATTCATTTCTCTCAATGTTTGCGGATGATGCCAAAATTATGAGAAGAATTAAAACAGAAGAGAACTGTTTGAAGCTTCAAGAAGACCTAGACAAGCTGACGGAATGGTCGAACAATTGGTTGTTAGAGTTTAACCCAACCAAATGTAATGTAATGAAGATAGGTGTAGGGAGCAGGAGGCCAGATACAAGGTATCATCTGGGAGAGGAAATTCTTCAGGACTCAGAGAAAGAAAAAGACTTGGGGGTTGATATCACGCCAGACCTGTCTCCTGCATCACATATCAAGAGGATAACATCAGCGGCATATGCCAGGCTGGCCAACATACGAACGGCATTCAGAAACTTGTGTAAAGAAACATTCAGACCTTTGTATACCACATATGTCAGGCCAATCCTGGAGTATGCAGCCCCAGCATGGAGTCCATATCTAGTGAAGGATACCTTGAGGTTACCTTGAGGTGCTTCCGGGTCTTAGCGTCCCCGCGGCCCGGTCGTCGACCAGGCCTCCTGGTTGCCGGACTGACCAACCAGGCTGTTGGACGCGGCTGCTCGCAGCCTGACGTATGAGTCACAGCCTGGTTGATCAGGTATCCTCTGAAGGGTGCTTATCCACCTTCATAAGGATAAAACTAAACTGGAAAAGGTTCAAAGGTTTGCCACCAGACTAGTACCCGAGCTGAGAGATATGAGCTACGAGGAGAGACTACGGGAATTAAACCTCACTTCGCTGGAAGACAGAAGAGTTAGGGGGGACATGATCACCACATTCAAGATTCTGAAGGGAATTGATAGGGTAGATAAAGACAGGCTATTTAACACAAGGGGCACACGCACAAGGGGACACAGGTGGAAACTGAGTGCCCAAATGAGCCACAGAGATATTAGAAAGAACTTTTTTAGTGTCAGAGTGGTTGACAAATGGAATGCATTAGGAAGTGATGTGGTGGAGGCTGACTCCATACACAGTTTCAAGTGTAGATATGATAGAGCCCGATAGGCTCAGGAATCTGTACACCTGTTGATTGACGGTTGAGAGGCGGGACCAAACAGCCAGAGCTCAACCCTCGCAAGCACAACTAGGTGAGTACACACACACACACACACACACACACACACACACACACACACACACACACACACACACACACACACACACACACACACACACACACACACACACACACACACACACACACACACACACACACACACACACACACAGGGAGGGAAGCACACACATAGGGAGGAGGCACTTAACTATAGACCTGTATCACTGGCAAGCATCCCCTGTAAAGTACTTGAAAGAATAATTAGGCTACGATTGGTTGCACTCCTGGAGACAATAGGTTTGTGAACAAACATCAACCTTGGTTCGTGAAAGGGAAATCGTGCCTAACTAACCTTTTGGAATTCTATGATAAAATAACGAGAATAAGACAGGACAGAGATGGTTGGCAAGACTGGATATTTCTGGACTGCCGAAAAGCCTTTGATACAGTATCACACATGAGACTGCTGTTCAAACTCAAGAGGCAGGCGGGGGTTGGGAGGAAAGGCCCTAGCATAGGTAAGGAACTACCTAACAGGAAGGGGCCAAAGAGTTACGGTAAGGTGCAAGAAGTCGGACTGGCGAACAGTAAAGAGTGGTGCGGTGCTGGGACCAATTCTATTTCTAGTATATGTTAATGACATGTTTACAGGAGTAGAGTCCTACATATCTATGTTAGCAGATGACGCAAAGTTTATAAGAAGAGTTGTGACAGATGAAGATTGCAGGATCCTCCAAGAAGACCTGAACAGGTTGCAGAGATGGTCAGGGAAATGGCTACTGGAGTTCAATACTAGCAAATGTAAAGTTATGGAAATGGGACTAGGAGACAGGTGACCAAAGGGACAGTACACAGTGAAGGTGAACTACCTACCTGAGACGACGCAAGAAAGAGATCTGGGCGTGGACGTAACACCTAATCTATCTCCTGAAGCACATATAAATAGGATAACGACAGTAGATAACGACTCTACACTTGCAAAAGTTAGAACATCATTCAGAAACCTAAGTAAGGAGGCATTTAGGGCGCTTTACAATGCCTACGTGAGGCCAGTCTTAGAGTATGCCACCTCATCATGGAGTCCCCATCTGAAGAAACACATAAGGAGACTGGAAAAGGTTCAGAAGTTTGCAATGAGACTCGTCCCAGCGTTACGAGGGGATGGGGTATGAGGAGCGCCTGTAGGAACTGAGTCTTACGACACTAGAAAAGTAAAGGGAGAGGCTGGGATATGATAGGAACGTATAAAACACTCAGGGAAATTGACAGAGTGGACATTGACGAAATGTTCACACGGAATAGTAACAGAACGAGGGGACATGGGTGGAAGCTGGAAACTCAGATGAGTCACAGAGATGTTAAGAAGTTTTCTTTTACAGTGAGAGTAGTGGAAAAATGGAATGCACTGAAGGTGCAGGTTGTGGAAGAAAATTCTATTCATAATTTTAAAACTAGGTAAGATATGACAGGGAAATAGGACCGGAGTCATTGCTATCAACAACCGATGGCTCGAAAGACGGGATCTAAGAGTCAATGCTCGATCCTGCAGACACAAATAGGTGAGTACAAATAGCTGAGTACACACACACATACTAGTCGTGGCGGTGGTGATGAAACGGGTAAGGACAGGTATACAGAGAATGACAAAGAGGTGAAGAACTGAAGATGAACTCAACAAGAGGTTCCAGGAGGTTTTCTGGACAGAATGAGGTGAGGTCACTGCACTAGGAGAGGGGGCAGTAAACCAGTCAGCCTTGGAAGGGGTAAATTATAATTCATTTTCGCAAACAGAGTGGTAGACAGTTGGAACAAGTTAGGTGAGAAGGTGGTGGAGGTCAAAATCGTCAGTAGTTTCAAGGCGTTACATGACAAAGAGTGCTGGGAAGACGGGACACCACGAGCGAAGCTCTCATCGTGTAACTACACTTAGGTAATTACACTTAGGTAGTTATACACACACATCTTTCTCTCTCTCCCTTTCTCTGCTCCTCCCTGACTTACCCTAGCACAAAATAGTAGGTTTTAAAGGAAAAAACATGATAGGTAGATGCACCACTGGCACAGGGAAAAGTCAGAGTCACCAAATGAAGATGTTCAACCAAGCTATCAACAGGGTATCAACAGTGAGATGCAAGAAATGAGGGATGCAATTAGCAACCTGCATAAGGAGCTTTTAACGGCATATGAGTAGAACACACACTCTGACTTACATAATGGACTAAAGTAACAATACTGTTCACATTTGTCATATATTTAAAATCCAATAATTGAAATTTAATAGCCCATAATTTGTAAACCTAGTATGATACTGAATAAAAATTTCAGTGACATTTTCTTAATGTATTTTTGTATTTTTTATCAAAATTTTTACCTTAGATTTTGAATAAAATATTCTGGTCAGTTGCCAGAACTGACCAGAAATACATATATTGAAGTCAAGACAACAGACCATAATTTTTTTAATTTAAAACAATATGCAAACGTTTGTAATTTTTCAAATACAAATATTCCAGGGTCTTAGGTTTCAGTGTAATCCTAGATGTAGAGGCGCTTTTCTCCCACGACCCTCAACTACCACAGGACAGTCTTTTGCACGACCCCAGTGCAGCCGCTCCCCAACCACCATCACAACACCAGTCAACTGAGAATTCTGTACGTCAACACCTGACACCACAAGATCAATTCACAAGAGACAACCTCCAGCAGGGGCTGTGGGGAGACTCAAGAACCACCTGCCGGGGACTTATTCTCGACCTCACCTCCAGCAACAACGCCACTCACCTCGCCCTCAGGTACTCTTTGTTTCAACTAATAAGAATCCTAAAATTTTATGCAAATATTGGATAACAATAAAATTGTATTGCCTTGCTTTTAATAAATAGCTGGCTACAATCATCTTTCCCACAGCATCCAAGAGACAAGTTTCAGACAATACACACTGCAAAAAGAAACCCTGACCCCATTATTCTTGACAACTGCCCGATCCAATATGCGGATGTAGGCAGAATCCTACATCCCTTTGAGCCCCAAGAATACCCGATCCCCTTGAGCCCTTGAATACAACATCCCTTGAGCCCCAGATTCCTATATCCCCTTGAGCCAAAAGAATTCTGAGGCTTCAGATCAATAGAACAGGTATCAAAAATCACGTCAAGGATAGAATAAACAAAGCAAAAACGGCCTTAGGAAAGCTGAGATTCTAGATCCTTAGTAGGAAAATATAGCTACACCTGTATAAGGCTCTAGTCTGACTGCATCTAAAATATGTTCCAGTACCACAACATACCTTTAAGAAAACTAACATGAAAAACTACAAGCAGTGCAAGATAAAGCGCTAAGAAGAGCAGCAAAACACCGTCCATTATATGGTCAGACAATACAGAAGTTCCATAAACTCCTGACCATACAGGAACTAAACATCAGACTACAGCACCAAGCCATCAGGGTATGGAACATCATCAAAATGTTAAAAGTTTCAATGCTAGAAAGATTACTCCAGTATGAGACGTTCTGCTCCCACAGCTGATGAATCTAAAGCCTCGATCAACTTAGTGAAAACCCAGCCTCAAAATACTTAATTCCTAGATGAAATACGGATCAGAAATCCCTCCCCGTCACAAAAAAATGTAAATATTGTCACTGGCGTGGGCTGGGGCTCTGCTAGCAATCGGCTGCTAGGAGCTCAGAAGGCAGAATACTCAGTCCCTCCGACTTTCGGGGCTCACCGGAGTCTCCTGGTCCCACAGGAGAGGACCAGTAATACCCACCAAAGAAGGTCTTTGCCCCCACCACTAGAAGTGCCACTGATTCACCGTGGGAGCCTTCAATCAACCACAGGGAAACTGCTTTTAGCAATTCCTGACCAGACCTGTGGAGAAGTGAAGGAAGACCCAGGCTTACCTTTTAACAATAACTTCTCCTGAGTCTTGCCTGCCAGACAAAAAGTAGCAGGAATTCCTTTCCCGCCTGCCTTCTCTATCTTCTTTTGACAAGGTCGCCAGCTGGGTTGATCTGCACCCCAGCAATGCAGTTCAGTGGGTGTACTCTATACTGCTTGTTGCCAAAGTGTTGCTACTCATATGGATCTGACACTAGACTGTCAGCCCAAGGTACTCTCCCACAAAAGTCTGTGTGGCTTTACCTCTCTTCAGCCACTACATTGTTTGTTGCCAAAGTGTTGCCACCATTCCGGCTTTGATATTGGACAGATAGCCTAGGGTACACTTCTACATAAGTCTGTGCTGCTTCACCACTCTCCAGCCACTAAGAACTTCTGTAGAAAACGTGATGTTCACTAGGTGGGACTATGATATCCCACGGGTATGCTCATAGAGATTATTATGGAGGAGCACTTGAACACAATGATAAAATATGTGAATTTACTGACATAAGCTACATGATCACACATACAATCACAAGCAATACAGGAATGGAAACTGAGAATAATAAATCTGGAGATCGTCAGCAACTCTTCTTTCACGACCTCCAACAACTCCTTCAACTGGGAAGATTAAAAGGGTCCACACACTCTCTCACATAGGGGCCTCTTCGTCGGCGTCGGCTACCCTCTCTGCAACTGCCCCGTCGTCCAAACGCACTCTCCTCTTCCACAGTCTTGGACACACGCTGCCCTGCAACCTATCCTACTACTAGTGTATCAATGTTATCCTATAATACACGTATATGAACATAATGGCCTATCTATCCTACTCACACAAGGGGTAATGGGAGGGAAATTGATCTACCTTTACATTCCTGGCTCACGACGCCTGTCCCTCGATGGTGTGAGGTTCCCACGCTTCCTGAGTCGGTCCTTGACGATCCAGGAACGTTCCACAAGTTCTCAGGTGTCGTGAAGCCTTCGCGTCGTCGCCGAACCACTCCCAGAGTTTCAGATATCCCAATCCTGGTTCACCAGTGGGCACTGAGCTAATCACTGTAAGCAAACACTCGTCCCTTCCACAAGGCATTGCTCCTTGCTCTAAGAACGGTGTAGTGCCTCCTAAATCCTCAGTGAACGTGACCCGGTCACAGCTAGGCCTGCCCGCCACGCCTTCCTGACCCCTCACGCGTCAGGCGGCGCCCCTCCAGCGTCGTCGCCGACCGATTCTTCAAGTTTTGGCACTTCTCTGCTGAATGAACTTGGCTTCTTCTTGCTTCCCGGAATCACAGGGTCTCCAATAACAATGGTGGGCTGCGATAGCTAGCTTTGATCCACTGAGTAAGGCTTGTAGAGCCTCAAATCCTCGAGAGCTGATCGAGGCGCATCCTCTCACCTCCACAGCCAGGTCAACTCTGGACGCTACCACCGCTGGCGCCGCCAGGGGCACTCGGTGACGTCAGGGCGGGCTCTGATTGGTCGCCCATGACCTAAGTTAGCCAATCCGCAGTCGGGTGGCATCCTCCACAAAATGGCGGATCTGCATGGAGGGGGTTAGCATTTCCTTTGTATGTGTGGCGCCACTTTCCCCTCACCTACAACTTATAATGTAAATTTCTCCCTTATCAGGCGGCCGCTCTCGTCGCCACATATACCAAAAGACTCCCTACGTCATAAAAATTTTTGAGAGAGTGCTAAGAAGTAAGATCACAAAATACATGTAATCACAGCATCTCCATAACCCCGGACAACATGGTTTCAGAACAGGGCGCTCTTGCCTGTCGCAGTTGCTGGACCACAATGATATGGCATTAGATGCTATGGAAGACAAACAAAACGCTGATGTAATTTACACAGATTTCGCAAAAGCTTTTGATAAATGTGACCATGGTGTTATTGCACATAAAATGCGTTCAAAAGGAATTACCGGGAAAATAGGCAGATGGATCTACAATTTCCTGACTAACAGAACCCAATGTGTAATAGTCAACAAAATAAAATCCAGCCCATCAACCGTGAAGAGCTCAGTCCCCCAGGGTACTGTGCTTGCTCCAGTACTTTTTCTCATCCTCATATCGGACATAACCTATAGCACTGTATCATCCTTTGCAGATGACACTAGGATTTTCATGAGAGTTGGCAACATAGAGGACACGGCAAACCTCCAATCAGATGTAGATCAGGTCTTTCTATGGGTAACAGAAAATAATATGGTGTTTAACGAGGATAAGTTCCAGCTCATGCGCTACGGAAAAATTGAAAATATAAAAACAGAAACCACGTACAAAACTCAGGCAAATTATAACATAGAATGAAAAGGCAATGTAAAGGATCTGGGTGTACTCATGTCGGAAGACCTTACCTTTAAAGAACACAATAAAGTAGCCGTCACAACTGCAAGAAAAATGACAGGTTGGATAACAAGAACTTTCCACACTAGAGATGCTATACCGATGATGATACTTTTCAAAACGCTTGTGCTCTCTAGAGTGGAGTACTGCTGCACAATGACAGCCCCTTTCAAAGCTGGAGAAATTGCTGACCTGGAGAGCGTGCAGAGATCCTTTACTGCTAGAATCCACTCAGTAAAACATCTAAATTACTGGGACCGACTAAAGAGCCTAAATCTGTACTCCCTTGAGCGCAGGCGGGAGAGATACATAATAATTTACACGTGGAAAATAATTGAGGGGCTGGTCCCAAACCTGCACACAGAAATAACATCACATGAGACCAGGAGGCATGGCAGGATGTGCAGAATACCCCCGTTGAAGAGCAGAGGTGCAACAGGTACTCTGAGAGAGAACTCTATCAACATCAGAGGCCCGAGACTGTTCAACACGCTTCAGCTACACATAAGGGGTATAACTGGCCGACCCCTCACAGTGTTCAAGAGAGAACTGGATAAGCACCTCCAAAGGATACCTGATCAACCAGGCTGTGACTCATACGTCAGGCTGCGAGCAGCCGCGTCTAATAGCCTGGTTGATCAGTCCAGCAACCAGGAGGCCTGGTCGACGACCGGGCTGCGGGGACACTAAGCCCCGGAAGCACCTCAAGGTAACCTCAAGGTAGGTAACGTCTCAGAAAATCAGTAAAGAAAGCCGATATGTCTCTTAAAGCAGGCAAACGGAAGAAATAGGAGAGGGGCACCGTAACAATATGTATCAGAAATCTCTTGATCTCAGCGGGATTCAAACCTGGTTCCTTTGCCACTTGTGCAGGTGGGGTCATGATGCCAAAACATTTGAACCCGAGTGTTGCAGCGAGACTCGCTGCAGCTATATTGGTGAAGGCGATCTTTAGAGTAGAACGTTCGCCGTCGGAGTGAGATTTATCGAAATTTCGAATGCCTTCGAGTTGGGGTTTTCATCTTGGATGTTGTCCTAGATATCTACTAGTTTTCGTTCAGTAATTCAGGTGCTGATACTCCTGGTAATTGCAGTTCTTTTAGCAATAGTGCGACGTGCGAAGACGAGGTCGATGTTCTGGATAAATAGGCATTCCTACCTTGGGATAGAGAGCAAGTGGTCGGCTACAACTTCTTGGGTGCAGTAGAGCACGATCCCCTCTCCCTCCTGATGGATGTCGATGGGATTAGTGTTGGTTGTGGTGTTAATGACTTTTAGAAGGTCGCTTTGGGTGTTTGTTGGGTCGTTTCGGTGGCAAACCCTCACCTTTAATGCCATCCCATCTACGGGACGTAGTAACGTTGGATGTCGCTTGGAGTGGCAGAAACGACACATCCTCTCCCGTGGCGAGCGTGCATCAGATCACGCATCGGATCATGATGTGATCTGATGCGTGATCTTGTGATAAAAAATGGAGGGGATTTGAATAAGGTATTTAATATATAAACACATAATAAAACACAACAGAATGGAAAAAGTTGAATAAGTGGAGATTTAGGAA